CCCCCTTGGCGAGCAAAGGGGGTACGCAAAATAATAATGACAAATTTCGAAAGCATCGAGAAAAGGACCGTCTGGAAAGACCGCAAACTTGGTGGGACATTTTCTCCGCACTCCCTCACCTGACAGCACGCCCGACATGCAGGTGCAGGAACGATAGATGCGTGTGAGCGCTGGGACCCGTCGTTCTTGGGGACAAAGCGCACGCCGACTGCTCGTGTTGATTGCCTGTGCCACACTCACGTGTTGCGGCCCATGAAAATATATATATATTTTTTTTGTACAATCAAAATATAATCATGGAATCACATCCGGGGAGGTTACGCCGCGAGGAAATCTCGTTCGTTCTGCTCCACCTCTCGTAATAAGGTCGATCCAAAATAATGCATAGCATCGAATCGTTCCTCACCGACAGGGCTACCAACCCTGCGAGTCTCGTGCAATTTGATGCACTCTACGAAGGTGCATCTATGCCTCGAAGTTGAACAGGGTGCTTCCAGGATTTCAATTGCGGGCTGAATTTTGAATTTGTGGCGGTGGGGTGGTGATTGTGACTGCTGTGCTCCACGGCGCCGGTACACGAGGGTCAACGCTCCACTGGCACACAGCACACAACACAAGCCTGGAGGTGGCAGGAAGCTGGCCAGCGGGTCACGTAGGTGGGTGAAAGCAAANCCGACAGGGCTACCAACCCTGCGAGTCTCGTGCAATTTGATGCACTCTACGAAGGTGCATCTATGCCTCGAAGTTGAACAGGGTGCTTCCAGGATTTCAATTGCGGGCTGAATTTTGAATTTGTGGCGGTGGGGTGGTGATTGTGACTGCTGTGCTCCACGGCGCCGGTACACGAGGGTCAACGCTCCACTGGCACACAGCACACAACACAAGCCTGGAGGTGGCAGGAAGCTGGCCAGCGGGTCACGTAGGTGGGTGAAAGCAAAGATTCGTTTGAGCACGACATCTTGTAGCGCTTGTGCAGCGGCGGAACAACACGAATTTTGGATCCAATTCCCACACAGCAGCAGCAGATGCGATGCCAGGTACCCTGCAATACATAAGAGGCATGACGTCTCGTGTACCGTATTCTACACAAGATACCACACCCCGGTGATAACATTTTGGGCTTCAAAAATATTATCACCGGGTGTGGTATTGTGGGGGGGG